ATGAATGGATGAAAAAACATTTTGTAAGTGTGACCTCTCACCCCTGCGTGGGGGGTGGGGGGATACAAGTAGAAAAGTGCAGACAATCCTCCCTCCTAGAGGAGCTTACCTTTTCATTGGGGAAGACCCTGCAAATAGGAGTGTGTAAAGTTACTGGGTTGGAGAGTAGGGGAATACTCTGCTACCCTTTTCAGGAGCAATTGCAGTATTGATTTTTAGCATGGTTCCAGAAGTGGAGAGGAAGAGGGGGGACTAGATGTAGAAGCTATGGGCAGTAACAAGGTGGTTGTACCAAAGCTGGCCAAATGTGGCTGGAGGAGGGGTTGAGGTATAGTGGGCTCCATGAGGCATACACCAATCAGGAGAGTGGGGGGCTGTTGCAGCTGGATGCATGATCAGCACAATGGATCATATGGCAGATCTACAGCTGGAAATGATTTCAAAAACTATCTGGTCAACCCCCTTATTTTACAGATGAGGAAACTAAGGTCCAGGGGTGTTAACTGTCTTACACAGATGGAGTAGGTATAAGGATTTGAACCCAAGTCCTCTGACTGGGCAGCTAGTTGGCATAGTAGGTAGAATACCAGGCCAGGAGTCAGGAAGACCTGAATTCAAATCTGGCCTCAGACACTTCCTAGCTGTGTGACCCTGGGCAAGTCACTTAGCTCCATTTGCCTCAGGTTCCTCATCTGTAAAATGAGCTGGAGAAGGAAATGGTAAACCACTTCAGTATCTTTGCCAAGAAAATGGGGTCACAAGGAATCAGACACAACTGAACAATGACCTCTCAATGCAGAGTCTGGGCTTTCTCCATAGTGTCACCTTAGGTCCAGCAGCTAGACAATAAACTGTGGCCAGAGCTGAGCAGAAAGGGATCAGCCTTGCTTGAATTGAGCAAATGACACAATGATTTCAATGATTCCATACTGTATTCTGTCCCAAAAAGTCAATCTCTTTTTCAACACAGAGATGCAATTATGGAATACCATAATCTCAGTGAATTCTAGTGGCTTTCTTTTGCCTCTGGGATCAAATGTAAACTCCTTTTGGGCACTGGAGCTCTTAACCTGGCTTGATCACGTTCTAGCCTTATGACACATTATTCCACTCTACTCTGGGATCAAGCCGAGCTGGACTTCCGCTGTCTCTCTCACAAAATCCCCCATCTCTGGCCTTTGTGTGGGTCATTCTCCTCCCTAGGATGCACTTCTATACCGCTTCCTCTTGGAGCCTCTGGTTTCCTTCAGGAGAGAAGCCAGATGGAAGGACCAAGCTAGGTCAATTGATAGAGTGCATCTCCTGCCCCCTTCCTCCCACAGTACAGAGAAAATAGACATAGAATGAAATTTTTTATAAAATTTTTGCATCAATTGACCCTCCTGGTCCTTCTAGTATTAAGATGCCTTTCCTGGTCTCTACAGCTGTTAACATTTCCCCCTCCCCCAAGGTTATCTTTATTTGTTTTGTACAAACCTATATATGTATATGTGCATTTTATGTATATGCATATACATACATACATACATATGTGTATATACACACACAGAGCTATCCCTTCCACCTCACTCCTTTTGATATCAAGAGGTCAGCATAAGAAATTAAATGGGAATTTTTTGGGAGTTTTGTGGATGCTGAGGACAACACATGAAGGCCCGCAGAAGACACAGGAAAGAGTTTACGAACTCAGAAATGCATAACATATACGTATAGTATTGCATAATATCAACACATTTTATCTTTTAATATCATAATAGTTCAGATTTCCTCTCTGGTGTGAAGGGAGGGCCAAAATTTTTTTTTACCAGATTCTCCAAATGGCACCTTAACCCTTAACCCTCTTGATGTGGAAGGAATAATGCTGTGTGTACACACACACACACACACACACACACACACACAATCTACAGGATGTCTTTTTTCTATAGGAAATGCCCTATCCACAATTGCTAATGCCTTTCCCTCAGTTACTTTCTATCTACTTGGTATGTACATTGTACTGATTTATGTATACCCCAGAATATAAGCTCCTTGAGAACAGGGATTGTTGATACTTTTTTTTTTAATCTCTGGGGTTTAGCACTGTACCTGGAACACTGTAGGAGCTTAATAAATACTTGTTGATTTATCTGAAAAACATCCAAGTGGCAAGGGACCCAAAGACAAATGGAAAAGGTGGGTGGTGGTCATAAGCAGGCTGCAGCATACTTAAGACCAATGATGATTTGTTCAGAAACGGTATAAATGAGGGCATCCAAGAGCACTTATTGTGGGAAAATGACCATGACCTTGTCAGTTTCCTCATCTCTAACATTAGGTGGCTGGGCTGAAGGATCCCTAAGGTCCCCTCCCAACTCAGAATCCTTCCTGAATTCCCTTTACTAAAAATGAGGTTTGAAACCATGGACTGGTCTGCATTGATGACCGTAATGAATGAGGAAAAGGAGGGTGGAGAGTGGAGCTTTTCTATATTGTCACACTCATATTGCCTCTGCTTCCTCGAGGCCCCCTGTTCTTACCCTTGAAATCAGGGAGTCATCGGTCACTTCATAGGAATGTGGATTTAAAAGCACAAGGGATCACAGAGGTTCTTGAGTTCAGCTCTCTGATTTTACAGATGAGGTAACTGAGGCAGAGAGCGATTGAATGTCTTGCCCAAGGTCACAGGTGTCAAGCTTGGATTTGAACCCTACTCCTCTGACCCTTTGTGGCTGTACCCTTCTTTTTTCAGAAACATGAAATACTACTGTTGCTATGTATTACCCAGGAGTAGTTTAGGGCCACCTCTGCACAGGATGCAGACCCCAAATCTGTTTCAGGCTCTGCTCCGCATTCCTTTCTAGGCAACCGGGTGGGGACTGCAGGACCATTTCACATACCACTCCCCTCCCCCCCAATACCTTTCTAAGGTGATATCCTAGGGGAAGGGTGGCTAGCCTAGGTGAGATAGCATAACCTAGGAACTAAAACCCAGTCTCCTATTGGCAAAGGGGATGGTGTAGGGAAAGAGACCATGAGATAGGTGCTAGTGGTGACCTCGTCTTCTCCCCAGCGCGCCTCCCTCTCCCCTTCCCTCTCCACGTTCAGGTTCAACGCCTGGGCTGGACCCAAGGCTCTGCCCCTCTCCCTCTCCCCTCTCTTCTGCTGCCGCGAAAACCCGGAGAAATGGAGTCCAAAGTGAGCTCCCCGCGCTGAGAAACTCCTCGGCGGCTCTAGCAGCTGGGGAGCTGGGCATGCTCAGTAAGCCCGAGCTGCTTTTGGGGCGCAAGCCGGCCGCTTTGGCTCGCTACGGGGCCGTGGGGGGTAGGGAGCCGCCGGCAGCGTGGGGGCACTGCCCGCTGCCACTCCGCCTGCAGCTTCCAGGCGATGGGCAAAGTTTCCGGCGTCTCGTACGCACCAAGCGAGCGCCCGGGGTCCAGCGGGGGTGCTGCAATGGTGGTTGCGGCAGCCGGGGGGCCGCCGCCACGGCCACGGCCACGGCCACTGGCCCCTTCCCTGTAGCCGGTGACCAACAGGTAAACTGTTGCCGGGGAGGTGGAGAAGAAGAAGGAGTAGGAGGAGGAGGAGGAGGAGGAGGAGGAGGAGAAGGAGGGGGTGGTGAAGGTGAGGAGCTGCGGCAACCGGGGCGGGGGGAAGGTAGTGATGGTGAGTGAGAGGAGGAGAATGGAGCGGGGAGGGTGCGGTGGGGGGTAGGGGGGGACAGGACTGGGGATGCCTGCAGGCTTCACCCGGCACTGATCGCAGCTCCTCCTCCACCTCCTCCTCCTCCTCCTCCCCGACCCCGCCTGTGCCCAGTGAGCCCCTGGAGGGGCGCCGAAAGGGTTAAGCCGGCTCTAGGCCCCCGCGAGAACTCCCCCGTGCATTCTGCCGCGGCGGCCGCTCGGCGGAACCGTGGTCCGCTCCTCTCCTCCCCTCCTAGCTCCTTTCCTTCTCTCCCCGGCAGCGGCGGGCTTGGATGCTCCTGCGGGAAGGAGGCTCGCAGGCGTCTTTGAGGGACCAGCCGGCTTCCCTGCAGCCGAGCATCCCTCCGCCCCCCCCCCCCCCCCCCCCCCCCCCCCCCCCCCCCCCCCCCCC